GAGAGAGAGAGAGAGAGAGAGAGAGAGAGAGAGAGATTGAGAGATTGAATTGTTGAATTGGTGCCTTGGCAATGCCTTTCATGATGACCTGGCCTGCTGGTCATCTGGTTCCTCTGGTCTAGGGGGTGGGGTTGGGTGGGATGAGGAGTTGAGAACGTGCTGATCTATGTGGTAGTTTTTGGTTTTTGAAGCATAGGTGTTTTGGTTTACATTTTGTTACCCTTAGTGCTGCTAGATCCAGGCCCTGTAGTGAAGGCCCCATGGCACCTGTCAGTCCACCTGGTCCCATCACATGACATGTCCTTGCTGTGCTGTGACAACTTTGGCATGGGCTCTGTTGTCATCTTTCCTGCCTGCATTTCCAGGCACTTGTGTCTCACTGATCAGAAGCTGCTGTGTCCTCCAGGCTGGTTCTGTCCCCCCCCCTCCCCCTGACAGAATTTCTCTGTAACTTTTTGGAGACTGTCCTGGAAATTGCTCTGTAGACCAGGCTGGCCTCCAACTCACAGAGATCTGCCTGCCTCTGCCTCCTGAGTGCTGGGATTAAAATCATGCACTACCACTGCTCAGCCCTGATTCTAGTTTTGAGGACAGGTCTGTTTTAGACGGTTACATTTGATTGGACTCCATTTTTATTGCTATGTACACACTTAGTCATTGAAGAGTTTTGAGAAACATCATGAGGCCAGTTAAATTTATTTGGTAGCAACAGGACTAATGAACACTGTGCTGTGCTCCATGAAACTCAGAAAGTGCCATGTCAGCGTGTTTCTGTTTGAAATGCTATTAGTGAATGGAACATCTGTATTACGGGAATGCAGTATGCTAGGAGACTAACAGTTTTGTTGCTTTACTTTGCTGAGCTGGGAAATAATCCCTGTGGCTGTAGAATGCCTCTGCAAGTTCTAGCAGCTGCCATTTTGGAAATTAATTGCATTGAATAAGTAAATGTGAATGTCAGGCATCTAATTGTCTCTTCTCTCCCAGTCTGCTACATGAAGCTTACAACCATTGTCTGTGATGAGAATTCACCACCAATCAGAAGCTGACAGGCTGGGATAGAGGCTGCTGGTTTTTGGAGGGGAAGAGGCAGGTTGTGAGGCCGGCTTGAATGTCTGGCTTTTGCCTTGTAGCCTGGTCCTCCAGGGTCTCTACCAACATGTCTCAAATAGCAGCATAGGGTGGGAGGGAGCAATGGCTGGTGCTGAGGGGTCCACAATGTTTGTTTTGCTCTTACAAACCCTATGTTAAATGTTCAAGTGACTGGGTTTTGATTCCTTTGTCTCTCCCCCCCCCCCACCAAGTCCTCATTTAGAAAGGGTTGACAGGTGAGATGCATTTAAAAATTCTGTGGCTTCCCAAACCCTTGGAATCTGGTACTTGGCTTGAAAAGTAGTGGGAAAAAGTCTATTAAAAAGACATAAAAGGGGGGCTGGAGAGATGGCTCAGAGGTTAAGGGCACTGACTGGTCTTCTAGAGGACCCTGGTTCAATTCCCAGCATCCACATGACAGCTCACAGCTGTCTGTAAGTAACTCCAGTTCCTGGGGACCCCAACACCAATGCACATAAGATAAAAGTTAATAAAAAAGAGAAATAAAAAAAGACAAAAGATTGTATAAAGCAGCCGGGGGTGGTGGTGCACAACTTTAATCCCAGCACTCGGGAGGCAGAGACAGGCGCATCTCTGTGAGTTCCAGACCAGCCTGGTCTACAAGAGCTACTTCCAGGACAGCCTCCAAAGCCACAGAGAAACCCTGTCTCGAAAAACAAAAAACAAAACAAAAAAACCAAAAAAGATTGCAGAAAGCAAGGAAAGGAACTTTTGTATGTGAGATGAGAGCAAAGAGGCAGAAGCCAGGGTGGGATTTGCCTTCTGAAAAGTGACCACTAAGTAAGGAGACAGGAATGGGACCAGGCAAGGGGCTCCCTTAGTCATTGGAGGCAGGAGGATGAATAGAGATGGGAGCAGGAAGACATGGAGTAATCAACTCATTGATTGACAGTCAGGGAGCTATATATGCCGGCCAACGTTATCTTGGGTATTTCAAACCCAGTCCACCTGGCAGTTAACTAGAAACCTGGGGCGATGTCTTTGGGCAACTCTGGTGTGGAATTTGCGGTGGTATGAATATGTGTCCACATCCAGACTTGGTTCAAAGGATGTTGAGTAAATCAGCAAGGAGGTGGCACTGTTGAGGTGTGGCAAGGTAAGAATGAGGTCAGAGGAAGGAACGCCCCCCCCCTGAGTATTTGCTCCAGGGCCTTCTCCAAAGATACCCCCTCCCCATGTGCTCCCACCACATTGTGAAGCACATCCTGCATCTTCGGTCTTTTCCTGGGTGTGTGGTCCAGAGTGCAGGGCTAGACCCTCTCTCGACTCTTTGTGGCCAGTTGTCTTCAAGCCACCCTCCCTCTCAGGGCTGTGTTGTCCTCAGAATGATGCTGCTCACCGTTTCATTATGGGGCTGGAGGAAGTTCCTGTGAAGGCAGGCCATGCTGAGCCTTGTGCCAAGGCGTTGCTCAACGCACAGGAAGCAGTTCTGCCACTCAGAGCCCATAGATAACATCTGATCTGATGGTGTGTGGGGAGTAAAGACTTGTGCCAATGATTGGAAAGTTTTAAAAAGATGTGTTATTTAAACAAACAAACAAAAAAACCCTACATGTGTGAGTGTTCCCTGCGTGTGAGTCTGGGCACCACATGTACCTGGATTCTGCAGAGGTCAGAATAGGGCATAGATTCTCTGGAACTGGGGTTGTGGACTCTGTGAGCCACAACGTGGGCACTGTAAATCCTGAACCTAGGTCCTCTGATGGGGAATGTGCTGTGTATATTCATCTTATTGATTATTGAATAAAGTACTTGTTTGGCCAATGAGACAGCAAGTTAGACGGGACTAGGAGTCAAAGAGGATTCTGGGAAATGTAGTAGAGAAGTGGTTATCCAGGCAGGAAGTGACATAGCAAGGAGACTCATATTTAAGCAAGGAGAAATAGGAAGTATCCCCCTTTTCCCCTTCCTCCTCCAGCGGCCAATGTGATCCACCGGCAAGAAGGGACGCCAATAAGGCGTCCGATAAGATAAGTCTTATAAAATATATAGATGTATGATAATTGAGACTGAACTAACAGATGAGAATCCTAGTCATTGGCCAAGCAGCATTGTACCTAATACAAGTCTCTTTGTGCATTAATTGGAGCCCTAACTTAGGCGGGTGGCTGGCGTAAAGTACACATGTGGCTGTGGGGCTCGGCGGTTTTGGTGGAAAGATTTATCATAACAGTCCTCTGCAAGAACAGTGAGTGCTTTTTTGGTTTGTTTGTTTTGCTTTTAGAGACAGGGTTTCTCTGTGTAACAGCCATGATTGTACTGGAACTTTCTCTGTAGACCAGGCTGGCCTAGAATTCCCAGAGATCTGCCTACCTCTGCCTCCTGAGTGCTGGGACTAAAGGTATGCGCCACCACTCCTGGCCATTAAGTGTGTTTAATGTTATCTCTTTAACCCCGAATGATTGGACTTTGATATATGTTCCTAATAAGGAAAATGATTTTTTTTTTTTAAAATAAAGGATGGAGTTCCATGTAGCCCAGGCTGGCCTTAAACTTGCTATCTAGCTGAGGATGGCCTTGCACTTCTGACTCTCCTGCCCTACCCCCGTCTTTGCCTTACCCCCATCCTTGGCAGATATGTACACCACTGAAGTCTACATACCTGGTTTATATGGTGGTCAGGGTTTAACCCAGGGCTTCATGCATGTTAGGCAAGCATCCTACCAACTGAGCTATAGCTTCAAGCAAACAAACAAAAAAAATGTAATTCTTATCTCATTGAATGCTTCAGTATTGGTTTGTATTTTGTTTTGTTCAGTGGCATTGGGATATTTCTTTTTCTGAGCCACAGGAGCCACAGACAGGCTACCGGTGAACTGCCTGCCTTGTCCCGCTCAGGTGACTCTTCTGATTTGTGTTCTTATAGAATGCTGCAAACCTGACCCCAGGCTGGGGAGCTCCTGATAAAGCACTTGCATAGTATGTGCAGGGCCCTGAGTTCTATCCCCAGCATCATAAAACAACCCAAATGATGTGTCACCAGATTCACCCACAAAGCACTCAACTTGTTGGTCCACCCCCAGTGAGTTTGTGGTGTGACTCATGCCTTTCTCTTGGTTTTCCTTCAGTTGTGGCTGTATACTTAAAGGAATCCTGGTGGTTCACTGAAGACATCCTAAGAACTTCTGATCCCACAAGGGATGGACTCAGGAAGGTAAGGGAATATGATGTTTTGTTTTGTTTTGTTTTGTTTTTTGAGACAGGGTTTCTCTGTGTAGCTTTGGCGCCTATCCTGGTACTCGCTCTGGAGACCAGGTTGGAATATGATTTTTTAAAGTAATTTTTTATTTAAATTAAAAACAATCTTTCTGGGCGTTGGTGGCACACGCTTTTAATCCCAACACTTGGGAGGCAGAGGCAGGTGGATCTCTGTGAGTTCGAGACCAGCCTGGTCTACAAGAGCTACTTCTAGGACAGCCTCCAAAGCCACAGAGAAACCCTGTCTCGAAAAACCAAAAAAAAAAAAAAAAAATCTCATTTTACATACCATTCCCAGTTCCCTCCCCCTACCATCTCCCCATCCTACCCCCCATTCCAATCCTCAGAGAAGGTGAGGCCTCCCATGGGGGAATCATCAAAGTTTGTCACATCATTTAGGGTAGAAACAAGGTCCTTCCCCCTGTATCTAGGCTGAGAGAGTATCCCTCCATAGGGAATGGGTATCCCTAGTGCATGAACAGACTTTTTGGAGCCCATTCCCTATGTAGGGGATATAATTTTTAATTTTAAGTGAACATTTGCAAACAGGTTTCCCAGGTCTTTTTTTTTTTTTAAAAAAAAACCATACATCTTTTTATTGTTAAGTCAAAGAGGTATCAAAATTAAAAGCAAAACTTACAGGGTAAGACTTAACAAAACTACTAAGGAGCATCAAAGGAAGTGAAAATGGAACTAGGTGCAGGGCAATTATGAATCAATGAACACTTCTAGTTCACAAGCTCATGGAATCCCAGGTCTTTTTATGGGGGCTTGTGTTAATAAATTAAGACTGGATAGCACATACATTTATCAGGGAGACACTTTTGAATCCCCAACTGCCTGGAGAATGGATTCCTCTAAGTCCACGATGTCTGTCTCTGTGTATTCATTCTGTGGGCTGCCCTGGCAGTACCAAGTCTGGAATGCTTACACAACAAATTTTTCTTTGTCTCTGGATTCTGAAGGCTGGAGGTCAAGGAATATTTCTTTTGAGGCTCAGGAAATCTGTTGTTGGCTCTATCCCTGCTTCTGGTTGCTCTAGCAGTTCTTTGGCCTGAAGATGGCGCTGTTCATGTGTCTTCAACCTTGTCTTCTTTGGAAGCATTGTCAGCTGTGTTGAGAGTCCTCCTTTTGATAAGGACATCATTTGTGTTGGATCTTGGGAGATTAATGTACCATCATGGCCCAATCACCTATAAAAACCTGTTCTGAATAAGTTCCCATTCATGATGCTGGTGGGGATTTTGACATCTTTTGGGGGCACACCCATCCTGCCAGCAAGGAAAACAGGAACATGTGACCATTCACCAGACAGCTGACTACTGTTCAGTCTGCTTTCCCATCTCGAGTGCCTCTTGTACCTCAGTTTGTCAACTTTAATCTGTCCCATTTCTCTCCTGTGTTGGGAAGTTTTTCTGTTGAGTACATTCAGGTCATGGTTATCGATAGAAGACTTAGAAACGGATTGGTCTGCCCTGCATACTTGTTATCTCAGCTTCTTTACAGGGCTGGTCTAATTTAAGAGTCTTCGAGCTCTTTGTTGTGTCCTTGGAGGCACAGGCTTGAGTTATACATATCGAGTGAGGGATTTAGTTGGGTGTAAACTTTGGTGCCTCTAATGTCAGGCCTGGTACCTTTGAAGCGTTGTGGCGCAGTAGAGCAGTTGTAAAGTAGGGGCCAGGGATGGTGAGGTAAAGGCGGGCAGCAACAAGCAGCTTTTTAAGAGTGTGAGAGAGTAGGTGAACTTCAGATGGAGTGGGGCTAAGGGGGGGGGCAGGAATCGACCGAGAGAGCTGAATGTGTGCCCCATCACTGCTTGCTCATTTGGCTGCCAGATTTATTTAATTATGTAGTTGAGATAAAGATAGTGCTTCTATACCACCCTGATATGCTGTGTCTTTCCTTGATTGTCTAGAAAACCACTTGTTTCTTTCTGTGGGGTTCAGTAGGTGCCTAATGAAATGTCAACATTTGTTGGAATTCATTTGGAGAATGAGTTTATAATGTAGTTTATTCTATTAGACACCTGGAACACGAATGGCTCAGTGAGTAAGAACCCCTGTTTGGCAAGTGTAAGGACCTAAGTTGGAATCCCCAGCACCCATGTAAAAAGGCAGGTATGGCTGTATGTAGTCTACCTGTGAGGGAGGTGACAGGTAAACCCTGAGAGCTCCCTGGGTGGCCAGCTGAGACAAGATGGACAGCTTTCGCTTCAGTGAGAGACAATCCCAAGATAGTAAGTGTGACAGAGGAAGACACTCTAGCTCCTGTTGTGGCCTCTGTCCAGGTTTCCACGTTCACACACTCAAGTACATGCACCATACAAACACACCAACACACAGATTGAAAATTAAGTCCTGTTTTAAGCAAGTTTCATTGACAATGTGATTTGCATACCATAAATTTACTCTAAAAATGTACAATTCTGTGATGTTTTAGAGACTTAAATCAACTTCTCCACAGCATCTGTTTTTAGCTGAATGACTTTTGAGCATCTGGATAAACTACATTTTATTATCCATCAGCAGTTGATGGATATTGAGTAGTGTCCACTTCTTAGCTGTCATAGTCATTTTGGGTGACCTTTTATGAGGATGTAGACTTTGAGTTTTCTTGGATATATACCTAGAAGCATAATGGCTGGTCACATGGCATCTCTCTCATATTTTGAGGAACTTCCACGCTGTCTCTACAGTTACTGTACCAGCTGACTTTCCCACCAGCAGTGCCAGCATGTTTTAGTCTCCTTGTGCTTGGCAGCATGTCCTGTTGTCTGCTTCTTATACTCTCTATCTGTGGTCATTTGAATGGAAGTGTCCCCCATAGGCTCAGGTATTGGGACACTTGGTCCCCAGTTAGTTGTGCTATTTAGGGAGTTAATGGAACCATTAGGAGATGGAGCCTTGCTGAAGGAAAATATCACTGGGGGAGGGATTTGAGGTTTTAGAGACTTGCCCTACATCCTGTTCTCTCTCTGTCTGCCTCTTTCTCTCTCCTTCATGTCTTCCCCACCATGATGGACCCTGTCTCCCTGAAACCTTAGCCAAAATAACCATTTTGTCCTTAACTTTCTTCTGGTAATAGTATTTTATTACAGCAACATACGGGTAGCTTTTTCACCATTCTGCAGATGTGAAGTAGTACCCTATAGATGTGTTGATGGGCATTCCCTGACAGTGAAGGATACTGAGCATCTTTTCTTGCCCTTACTGACCATTTTTCTGTTCTCTCTCTGGGAGAATACCTGTTGTGACCCTTCCTTAGCCCATGTTTTGATTGTAATATTTGAATTTTTATTGTTACATTGTAAGAGTTTCCCACATATTCTCTGCGCAAGCCTTTTATTTTGCAATAAAAGAACCATCACATATTTGCTATTAAAAAAAAAAAACTAGAATGACTCTTTCCCCATTTTGTAAGTGGCCTGTAAAGTGGAATGCCATGGAGTCAGAACTAGATTGATAACAGATGGTTTATTAGGAAAATACTCACGAGACTGAGCCAGTCCAGGTTTACACCGGATGCCTGCTTGTCTGTTCAGCCAGGCAGGAGAGGGAAAAGAGGGCCGCATGCATGCATCTCGGATATTTAAAACCTTGCTACATCACTCTGACCAAATGGGTGTGGCCAGCACTTTCCCCTAAAATTCCCCTTTTAGTCTAAAGAGGATTTAAACTTGACAGTGTAAGTTATCTATAATTAACAATCATAAAGGTGAATTACAAGAAGTTATAATAATCTACTAATGTCACATATTAACTATGTCTATTCCAACTAAACCCTAAAGTCATCTGAAAGAGATGTCCAAGCTTGAATACCTCCTTCCAAACCTAACCTTAAACAATAAGAAACTAGCCCTAACTCGGTGTCAACAGTGGGGAAAGGGGGCATAGTATTCTCCAAGCTATGGGAAGCTGCTGAAATGGGACAATGACAGCCTCATGGGGTCCTGTGGGAAGAAAATGTTAGTGTAGTGAAAGTCTTGAATGGGTTATATCCAGTATGTGTTAGGTGGGAGATGCTAGGTTGAAGTCCTTATCTTGATTGAAGAAGTTCTTGTGTTGATTGGAGTCAGTACCGGAAGTTCTGGCCGGAGTGTCAGTTGAAATAAATCAAGTTGGATCCAGTGTGGCCCATTTTCTTTCCAGAGCATCCAGGGATTGCTGTCAGGCAGTTCTTCATTGGCTGTGTGGAACTCAAACATAAATGTTAGCAGAGAAATTTTTAAGGTTCAAGAGGAATGAAGACGCCTTGAAAAAAATGTGTTCAGGGTTACTTAGCTAGAGTTAAGCAAGAAGAGCAGTGATACCAGGCCCTGAAGATTCACAAAGAGGAAAAGCTGGACAGAGCCAACGAAGAGATTGCTCAGGTTCTCTCAAAGGCCAAGGTCGAGAGCTCTGTTCTCTATGCTGGATTCCTGAAGGAGCAGATGAAGGTGGAGTTCCTGGAGAGGGCCCTTCAGCAGAAGAGTCAAGAAATTGAAGAACTGACAAAAATCTGTGACGAGCTGATTGCAAAGCTGGGAAAGACTGACTGAGGTTCCTCCCGTGAGCTGTGCAGGTCTGAGTCTGGCTGTTTGTGTCCTGACCACAGATATCTTGCCTTATCTAGAAATACTCCCCCCTTTGCAGAGAAAAATAACTTTTAAAAAAGGACATGCCTGCTACTGCCTGTCGGCTTCACTGCCGCAACTGGAGCCTGGCCGGTGGGGAGAAGTGATGCGGTAGCCGAGCCCTGCTGAGTCCGTCTGTCCATCCAGGCTGTCGTTTCCATTAGATGGGCTGGGATGCTGGGTCTGGTGTGTGCTTCTCCATCTTCAGTTCATCTTGCTGTTAACTTTACTTTTCCCAAGTTTGTGAAATTTCTAGTTTTGTGGCAACTGTGTAGGATCATCTTCCTAGCACATATTTGATATTTTTATGAACTGGTTAATCTTTTAAATTTTAATATCAGCAGTTTTATCGAAGGAGACAGTTTGGCCTATTGTTACCAACAGTTTATCGATGAGGCTCTAAGAGTTCCCTTTTATTTTATTTACAGACTTACTTTTACACCCCCCCCCCAACATATTCAGGGAGGAGCATAGTTATGTAAATCAATGTAGATCTCTTCTTTGGAAACAGAACTCTAGGTCTAAAAGCCAGCTTTAGACTTTGCTAGAGTGCTTCCTATACACAAAGCCCTGGGCTTGATCCCCAGAACTACAAGAACTGGATATTGTAGGGCATACCTGTAATCTCAACATTCCAGAAGTGGAGGCAGGAGGATCGGAAGTTCAAGGTCATCCTTGACTGCATAGCCAGGTGGAGACCAGCATGGGCTACATGAGATCACCTTTCAGAAAAGGGGTGAGTGGAAGCAGAGTGACATCTTAGCTATTGGGAGGCTAGGGCAGGAAAATCACTCAGACCCGGAGTTTAAGGACAGCACAGCACTAGGCAAAATAGACCTTTTCTCAGAAATCAAACATCCAAACTAAAACTTGAGTTGGGGTGGGTGGGGAGATTGGGGGTAGGAAGATGAGGGATGCAGGTTTTATGTCCACGGAACACTTGGCTGTGCTATTTGTTGTCCCTGTATTTGGACACCCCAGATCCCAGCATGGATCTTTGTGTTCCTACTGAAAGTAGCCTCTTCCATCTCCGTGAGCAGCAGCGTGGGCCTCCCTCAGAGCTGGCGTCTGACGGATGTGTCCACCTGGGGGCAGTTAGCCTCAAAACCAAAATCAGCTGTTGTTATCTATTTGAAATACACCCAAAGGGGACTTGGGAAAGGGTCAGATGATCTTGTTAAAGGATGCCTAAGGACCAGTTAGAGGGTGAAGGACGGGTTTTCTGTGTTTACAAGCATGACCTCTCAGAAGAGTTTCCAGCAGCTGACGATGGAGAAGGAGCAGGCCCTGGCTGACCTCAACTCTGTGGAAAGGTCCCTTTCTGATCTCTTCAGGAGATAGGAGAACCTGAAAGGCGTGGTCAGCATTTCCCTCTACAGGCCTGTTTAGAAAAAATTGATCTGGATTCAGTGGACACGATAGACGCTATTATAGATGTTCTGCCAAGGTCTCCTCCAGAGAATTAATGCTGCCTTGAGATTCAGCCAGGGGCCGTGATGTAACTGTGTGTGCTGTTGTCCTAGCTCCTTTGTCACAGGTGGACCCAGTGACTATTTGGTGCTAAGAAGACTGATTTTCTCCTTATAAAGTTCCAGAATGAGAGTGGTTGCTTTTCTCACTTCCCATCTCTTCCAAGTTTAGATTGGGAGCTCACTCCCAATTTTCTGAGAGTGTGCTATTGTGTATATGTTTATGTTCTGAACAGAAATCCTCTTGGCAGTTTTTCCCCCCCCGCCCATTAAAAACCTAACCCCCCCCCCCCCCCCCCCCCCCCCCAGCCATATCCTCCCACCCTCATACATGGGTATTTCCTTCTGTTTTTTTTAAGAATTTGTCTTTACTTTTTTTAAAATCAGGTTTTGTTTCTTAGCCACTTATTTTTTTCACACATTACTAGAAAAATCCCCTTTAATGCGCTCACTGTTAATGCAATTAGTGGGCCCAGTGATGGCTTAGAAATGAATCTTAGTTTTATGCTTTTGGAAATACTTCTAAGTCAACATGGCATGTCACAAATTTTTTCTTCCTGTAATGGAATTGGACAAATTAACTACACTCCCTTTTCCTCCTTTTTTTCTCTTGCCAGTGTTTGATTGGGTGTTTCCCCTCTGCCACATGCCGTCTGCTTCCCCACTCTAGTTTCCCAGGTTGAAAAATACCGCCTCCCACATGATACCCATTAGCTCTTGAGGCCAGCTAGTTCTTAAAGTTGAATTTCATCTGGCTGCCACTGTCTGAGATAGAAAGTGAACCAGTTAGATCCACACACGGCTTTTCCTCTTCAAAGAGCTGGCTCTGGATGAAGGTGACATACTTTACATCCTGTGCCGTCGAGGAAGTATGTGGACACTGGACACTTTGTGCAGGATGCCATGGCAAGCTGCCTTATTATTAGTAAGCATTAATAAGCAGACAGTGGGCTGGTGAGATGGCTCATTGGGAAAAAGTGCTTGCCATGAGCCTGACAATCTAAGTTTGATTCCCCCAACCCTTGTTAAGGTGGAAGGAGAGAACTGATTCTACATAGTTTTCCTGTGACCTCTACGAGTGTATCATGTGTTTACACATATATATCATGTGCTAACATGCATGAATGAGTGTGTGTGTGTGTGTGTGTGTGTGTGTGTGTGTGTGTGTGTGAGAGAGAGAGAGAGAGAGTAAGGGAGAGAGCACATACACATACAATAGCGACAGATGTGTTTTAGAGCACACTCAAGGGATCTTATCTCCTGATTGAATCTCAAAGAAGAATAAATGGTGAGGTCTCCCAGGAAATGCAGGCTGAGAGCCCACAGATACAGATGATAGTGATGATGTTAGGAGGGCAGTAATTTTGGGATCTATTAGACCTAAAACTAGGAGGCTGGGTATATATGGCTTATTTGGTTTGGTAAAGCGCTTGCCATGCAGGTGCGAGGACCTGAATTCAATTCCCAGAACCCACATAAAGAAGTTGGACATGGTGGCACATGCTTGTAATCCCAGAGCAGGGGACACAGAGACAGAGGGATCCCTGAGGTTCACTGGCCAGCTAGCCTAGCCTGTTTGGTGCATTCCAGTTTCAGTGAGAGATCCTGGCTCAAAAATTAAAGTGGACAGCACCTGAAGAATGATACCTGATGCACTGCCCACACACACACACACACACACACACACACACACACACACAACCCATCATATATATGCATCCCTATATGAACAGTAACATGCATAAATGAGTAAAATTGACTGTACAGCCATGCACTGATGTTTTCGATGAGTGCTCCCATTCCCAAAGTCTCAGGTCTGATAGATGAGACAGCAGAAGGGAGTTAGCTTCTGTCTGGGCTTGAGCAGGTGTGCTGTTTGGGATGGAGGAGCCTTGGCCTGTTACTCCAGCCTATTTCTGAGCTAGCCCTAGCCCAGCTGTCTCAAGTTGTCTTTGGAATGAGACAGTAAAATTGATGCATGCACTCACTTAACCTCTTGGAGCTTCAGTTTCTGCACCTGTAAGCCAGTCCCCTCCCCACCCCCCAGCAGATGAAAATCAAGTGACAACACGTGGGGAGGAGTCACAGCTTCGGGGGTGAGGTGGATCCGTGCACACACATGCCCACACATGCCCCACAATGGCTGTCATATAGCGGAGTTGTAGGATAAAACCCAGCACTGTAATACAGTCATTGTGTGAATAGCTGGCTGCTCTCACCCTCTGCATCAGATTATATCAGTTACCTGTGCTGCCTGGACGGATGTTTGTAGGATTAACAGATCATACCCTGGCTGTGTAGCCAGACATGGTCAGGTGGCCATGTCTCTTATGAGTCTGGAAGAGAGACCCTGATTTCAGCCACACAATCACCCTTTCATAGTCAGAATCACAGTCAGGAACTTGTTGCCATTTTGGCTTGTGTGAGAGAAGGCTTCTAACTGGGTGGGAACATCTTTGGTCACAGGGATGACTCCGCTATGGGCAGGAGGGTTCTATTATGTTGCTTAGTTCGAGGTGGGCCTTGAGTCCCTGGGGGGGGGTGTTAGGACTCTAGCACGTACTTGAAATCAGTGGCTTTTGCTGTGGCTATTGCCCCCCCCCCCCCCCCCCCCCCAAGTCGAGGATGTCAGCACTGTACAAATGGCAGATTAGGTTTATTTCAGGACACAGCCAGTCATCTCTTGGAATGGCTGACCTGGCCTTCCTGTTCTGTTACACTCAGTTGGTCACACTCTGTGGGTCATAGTCCACGTCTGTGGCTTGGAGTCTTCCCAGGCACTTCACTCCACACTGTCTTGTGATAAATCAGTGGTACTGAGACCCCATCACCCCTGACCCCGCCTCACCTGGCCCAGCCAGGAGCTCCTTTTCCTGTTTGGTCTCACTTGGTGGCAGCTGTTCTTTTTTTTTTTTTTCTTTTTTCTTTTTAAGGTTCAGTCCTTCGGGGAAAGGATTGTACTTTTTCTTCTCAACACCATTGTTTTTGGAAGACTGGAGAGAAATCTGGATGATGATGACATGTTTTTCTTACCTCACCCTGCGAAAGAACAAGCTAAGATTCTGTGGAGAGATGGAGCAGCAGTTGGATTTTACTCAATCAAAAGGAAAGGTGAGGGATACATAGTTTCTGAGGCGCAGGGTGGCATGTGGCCCCTTGGGTGTGTGTCTCTCTCGGCAGCCCCTCAGCATGAGCATTGTGTGGACTCTTGTGGCTCAGGAAGCACAGCTAATTAAACTTTTGTGTAAATAAGCCCAAAGCATGGATTTCATTTTCACATCTCTGTAAGCATTCTCCTTGGTTCCCAGGAAGAGCCGTGTGGCCCTATGACAGCAAACAGTTTGTGTGCCTGCAGCCTAATACTTTTCCTTTTCCTTAATGTTAACAGTCAGCCGTCAGGAAAAATACTATTGCTAACAGCTGATGCGTGTTCAGGAAGCATTCTAGATGCCAAGACTTACAGACATTACCTCAGAAGACAAGACAGTGAATTGGCTATGGAAACAGGCTTAGGTTAGACAACAGCAGCTTCCTTCTAGGGACCTTGGCAAGCAGTAGGTGTTCAACTGTCGGGGTGAAGGTGTCTGTCTGTCCTTTCAGGTAGTCGTTTTCTTTAATAGTTTCTTCAGCCTTTAAAGGCTGCCACCATCTGACCCAGATGGTTCCACCATCACCACCACTTGCTTTTTATGAAGATATGCATTTTAAAGATTACTTAAGAAATTACACGTATTTATTTGGCAGCAGTGGGGTGGGGTAACACAGGTGAGGAGTTCAGAGGACAACTTTCCCTGCCTGATCCACGTGGATCAAACTTGAGCCATCAGGCTTGGCTGGGAAAACTCTGAGCAAGCTCACTGGCTAGGAAGTTACCAACTTTAGCAACAATTACATTTCCCAGAAAACCCCTGTGGGTGTGCTATTTTTGGAGGTAAGTGTTCTTGGGAGATAAAGAGACTGATTTTTGTTTTGAGACATGTTCATATTGTCTGTGTGTGTGTGTGTGTGTGTGTGTGTGTGTCCTCCTTGCCCAGGAATGAAGTCCTTCCTTTGCTCCTCCCCCTCTTGCCTCCCATCTTTCTATTGTCACATGACCAGATTCTCATGCCCTGTCGGTTGGTTAAATGTCTGCTGAGGTCAGTTCTAGGCACTTTGGCTCATGGCTGTGGCAGTAACTTCCCTCTTGATGGTCATACTAGCCCTGTGATTATAACATGTCTTTATGCCTTTTTCAAGTGTTACAGTCCTGATTTATTAACTAATGGGCCTGGAGAATAATTAAGGTGAAGGGGAAGTGTTTATAATTCATCTTTCCTGAAACATGACGCTGTCTTCATAACTCTGTAAGAGAATCACGTGAACCCTGAATGACTCTCCTTGTAGGTCTTTAGGCGTCCTGGGTCTCCTGGCAGAGCCAGGTCATACATAGAGTCCTGGTTAGGCACTGACTGGTTAATGAAATGTTGGATTAAAGGAGCTTGTCTTTATTGGATGAGGAACTCAGGTTGGTGAATTTCCTTAAAGTGTTGATATGTTGGCATAAGTTAACAGGTTTCTTTTTTAAAAAAAAATGCATAGAAAACTCACACAATCCACCTGGGCTCACAATGGCTCACAGAAACTGAACCCACAACCAAGAAGAATGCATGGGATTGACTTAGGCCCTCTGCATATGTTACAGTTGTGTAGCTTTGATGGGGAAGGTCCTTCTGTATGCTGTGAATATATGTTTCTCTTATTAGTTGATGAATAAATGCTGACTGGCCAGTAGCCAGGCAGCAAGTATAGGCAGGGCTTCCGCACTAGGAGAATTCTGGGAAGAGGAAAGACAAGAGGGTGAGTCACAAGAGAGATGCCATGTAGCCGCCAAAGGAGTAACATGCCAGAGCATTACAGGTAAGCCATAGCCTCCTGGCAATACATAGTTTAATAGAAATGGGTTAATAATTAAGAGAGAGCTAGCCAATAAGAAGCCTACGGTAGCATGGACCCTGGACACCTACATGGCTGCAGGTGGCAGCCCAGACACTGGGCATCCTTGTGGCTTTTGGTGGCAACACGTTCACAGATGTCAACACAGACTCTGGCTATATGGTAGGACCACAGACCCAGACATGGTCCTTGGCAGCAGCCTAGGCTTGGAAATCATCATGGCAAGCAGGCCACAAACATCAGCCTGTTCTTCATTGCCTCTCCATCTTCCATTCTTCCTCCTTCCACAGCACATGAACCTTTCCCCTTTGCTTTCTCTCCCATTTCTCCATCACACATTTGCTCACCATAATGGCACCCACAGCTCACGGATGTCTTCCCGCCAGTCCAAGCCTTGAGGACCCAGGCTGGCCTGCTGGTGGCTTCCACCTCCTGAGCGCAATTGTATGATATTCTTCAGGTGTCCTTGAATTTTATTGAATTGTTGTATCTGTTTATCAGAGAAATTAGCTTATAGTTTACTTGTTTTGTCATGTCCTTATCTTGTTTGGGCATTATCAGAGGTTCTCAACCTTCCTATTGCTGTGACTCTTTAATACAAGTTCTTCATGTACGGGTAGCTCCCATAAAATTATTTTTATTGCTACTTCCTAACTGTAATTTTACTAGTTATGAATTGTAATGTGAATATCTGATATATGACCCTTGTGAAAGGGTTAGCCAAACCCTCCAAAGGGGTCGAGACCCACAGGTTGAAAACCCCTGCATTAGGGTAATGTTAGTTTTTATAGAAACAGTTTGATTATTTTTTCCTTTATTTTTAAAAAGAGATTTATGTGTGTGTGTGAGCAGTTGCATACATAAATGTAAATGTACCACACATGCATGCATGCATGCCTGGTGCCCATGGGAATCAGAAGATGGCGTCTTGGAACTCTCTGTAGACCAGGTTGTCCTCAAACGCACAGAGATCCTCCTGCATCTGCCTCCCACGTGCTGGAGTTTAAGGCACGCACCACCACGCCTGGCCTGTGCTATTCTCTTAATCACTGAACCATCATCTCTCTTGCCGGCTTCCCTTTCTATTTTACGAAACAGTTTGGAAAACATTGTTGTCTGGCCTTCTTTAAAGGGTTGGCAGAATTCGGCAGTGAGTTCATCTGGTCTTGAGCTTTTCTTTGTAGGCACGCTTCTTGTTACTGCTTCAATCCCATTGCTTCTTAATGCATCTGTTCAAGTTTTGATTTGCTCTTGATTTAACTTTGGTCCAGCATGTATGTCTAGGAATTTAACTATTTCTTCTAGGTTTTCCAGTTTTCTAGGATGTATGTTTTCAAAGTAGTCCCTAATGGCTCCCTGGTTTTGTTGAAGTCTATAGTGATCCCCTTTTCATCTCAACCTTTATTAATGTGGGTTCCTGCCCCCCCCTCTGTGTGTGTGTGTGTGTGTGTGTGTGTGTGTGTGTGTGTGTCTGCGCATCTGCACCCCCTCCCATTCATTTGGTCACAGGCTTGTCAGTCTTGTTTACTTTGTGTGACCGATGTTCTCTTAGACTCCATTTCATTGCTTTCTGTCAGGTCTGCTATGATTTATTGCTGTCCACTCTATTTAGGTTTTTTTTTTGTTCTGGAACATTGAGGAACATCACCAGATCACTTAGTTGAAATCTTTCTGATTGTTTATTAGAAACACTCAGATCTCCCAAATTTCATTTTCAGATTGTCTTAGCTGTATCCCAAAGGTTCTGGTGAACTCTGATGAAGAGAATTGTGAATTTTCCTCACTGATTTCCCATTGGTCACTCAAGGGGATATTGTTCCACCTCTATGTTTTTGTGTAGTTTTCCTATTCCCAATTTCTATTTTCTTGAGCAATGATCTGGTAAGGTACAAGACATTATTCAGATCCTTTTGTATTGGTGAGATTTGATTTGTAGCTGGAATGTCTGTCTTATCCATGTACTGAGATAAATATGGCTGTGTATCTTTTGGATGGAATATTATCTAAATGTCAGGCGAGTTATTTGCTCTGTTCTGTGGTTTAACTTTGAGTTTTCTTTTCATTTGTTTATTTTTTTGTTTTTACATCCCAAATCAAACTTCACCCTTCCTCTCCTCTTCCCAGTCCCTCCCCCTTCAACTCTGAGTTTTCTTTGCTGACTTTCCAGTTAGATGCCTATGTAAAGATGAGCATAGGGTATTGAAATCACTCACTGATATTGATAGTTTCAGGGACCCGTCTGACCTCTTATGTCTATTAGTATTTGTATACTGAAATTGTGAGCACTAACATTTAGTGCCATATTTACAATTATTATAACTTCTTGGCAGATTGTTCCCTTTATTACTATGTAGTGACATTCTTGAAATGTATTTTCATGATTTTTGAGAAATGGTCTCATGTGCCCAGGATAGCTTTGAGCTCCCAATGTAGCTGAGGGTGACCTTGAACCTCAGGTATTCCTTTTCCCTAGTGCTGGGATTATAGACACCTACCATCACGTCTGATCAATGTAGTACTTGGGAGTGATCCCAGTGCATGCTGGGCAAGCATTATGCCAACTTAGCTGAATCCTCATCCCTGAAGTCTAGTTTTTATCAGATACCAGAATAGCTGTGGCAGTTTGTTCTCAACTTCTGCTCACTTGATAGATTGTTTTCCATTCTTTGACTTTGTCTGTAGATATTTTTACCAGAGAGTGGTGTTTCTTGAAGACAACAGATGCTTGGATCTTGGTTTTTAATCTAGTTGGCCAATCTGTGTCTCTTTCTTGTTGACTTAAGGTCATTTACATTTAAAGTTATTAATAGCGGTGTTTCCTGATTTCTGTACTTCTTCTGTTGGTCACATTGCTATTTGTTTTTCCTTTCTTCCCTGTTTGTATTAGGAGTTTGCTAGTTTATTGTGGTGGACATGATACACTCCTTTCTAGCTCTCCTTTGTTGACCTATTCCTCTCATGAAGTTTATTCTTTCTTGTGTTCTTGTGATGCAGATTTTTTTTCCTCATGTTTTCTATGATGCTATTGAGTGACCATGAACTACTTTGGGTGTGGGTTTGTCTCAGAATGTCCTTATTATTCTATCAACTTTTAAAGATAGCTTTGCTGGATTTAGCAATCTTGAATGGCAATTATTTATTTTCAGTTCTTAAAATATATTACCCCTTGCTTCCCTGGC